CCAGCAGCCTCGGAATCTGCGATGCCCATTGATCCCTCGCTCGATATTTCCCAAAACTTTCCGAGGCCAAGCGTTTACCTGCAAAGACAACTCAGCAAAGGTAGATTCAGACCTGGCCAGCTTGACCCACCCGCGCAGAGAAAGTTTGCCGAAGACATCCTTTCGCCCTCGCCCAAAGATGCGAAGGAGGTTTCGCCGGGAAAGAGACTCAGCTTTAGCGTTGTGCCTGCGACGAATGTGTTGCCTGCTAGCCAAGCTCATGAGCTGCTCAAGGAGCCTAAACCTCTGCTTGCGACTGCTTCCTCTGGAGAGATTCCCACCTCTGGTCGATTGAATCGACAGCTCTCGTCAGGCGCCACCTCTGCAGCTCTGCATCAACAAGCAGGTCATGTTCTTCAGCCAGGCGTCTCGGCTCTCGAGATGAAGCCAGCTGCGGAGCTCCCAAGCAAGACTGGCTTGACCCGAAAGGTATACAAGGCCTTTTCGCAGACGTATAGGCGAGTGAAGAAGGTTCTCGGGGTGAGCAAAAATTCGTCCAAGGGGGAGAGATCGAACGGCTGCTCGGATTCTAGCAAGTGCAAAAAGACGATGACAGGCGAGGAAAGGTTTCCAGAGCTGGACAAGGACATTCACATCCCGATCACTCCACCCGCAAGTCATCGGTCTCCCTCGCCTTCGCCATCGATCAGTCCGTCCGAAGACTTGTCCAACTTTTTCAACTTCGAACACAAGTCCAAATCTGCCTCTTCGATTGAGCAGAGTCCACGACAACCCCAGCCGGACGTGAGCAGGTGGAATTTCAAATTCGCTAGCGGTGCACATCATCGCCATGGGAACTTGCAGAAGCAAAAGCAGGTGCATAATGGTTGGACTAGTCCTTCTTCCTCAGACGACGAGGTCAGCAAAAGCAAAAGTCGGAGCGAGGCAATGATCTTGAAGAACAAGGAACATGCCTCGCAAGGGGACAGATCCGATCCTACGCGTCTAACTTTTCGTCCCAAATCGACGGCGCAAAGTCGAAGGACTAGAGCTGGATCTGTAGGAAATGTTGCTGAACTGAGGGAGGAAAGGAAAGGAGCTCCGCTCGCACTGCTTGTCAAGGGAGCAGGACCCGATGGATTGGGACAACGCTCCAGGTCGGTCAATCAAGCGGATACTGTGCGCACAGCTCACTGGACCGCTGCCTACTGATGGCAAGCCAGGCAAGCATGCTCACAGACGGTCTGGAAGCTGGTCTGCCTGAACGTCAAGGTCGAGCTTGATTACGAATCTTTCTTGGGGAGGATTTCTAAAAAGTTCGGGAATGCTGCCCGTATTGTAGTTGATGCTCTCAAAATGCATATCCATCCTCTCGCCAAAATGTCGAGACGAGTCCAGTCCATCTCGAGCGAGACGTGCAAAATGTCTAGCTATGTAGCTCGCTCCCACCTCAGGGCGAGACGTGCAAAATGTCTAGCTATGTAGCTCGCTCCCACCTCAAGACTCGAGATTGCTATGTCCCATGGTACAGGAACCACGAATGCTTGCTTGGCTCGGCTTGAATCTCGACCGCCGTTGTTGCCTTGCCCTTCTGGTGACCGACATTCGTGATTTTCCGCATGACGAGCGTACAGCAGCTAGGAAAGAGATGAATAAAGATGCCAAGACTTGACTGATCGCATGTTCATACGCGTCTCTCGGCTGTGGTGAATGCGGGGCAATTACAATGTGAATGTTGATTCGCAATGAATTGT